TGCAGGGGGTGCCTACTCCTACTAGCCTTTGGGGCGTGCAGATGGGGAGCCCATTTCCTGACTAAATGTTAATATTCACAGCGCTCAAGAAAAGCAATGGTGATTTGGGTTTGATAGAGTACATTTTCAAAAAATATCCCTGCTCCCCAGCTTCAAATAATCCGGGATCCTTTCCTAAATTACATGCGTAAAATCAACGTTTTAAAACCATAGTTTTCTTAAAGTGAAAATTTTATAAGAAATGTCATAAGAAAACAAAAACTATCATTTTTATCAGGTTCCCCTCCCCCCACCCCCCATCGCTTGGAACGCAGCCATTTATTGCTTACCTAATTGTTTAAAGTGGGCTTGCCTAAAAACAACGAGCACGATAACAATCCTTTTTTTACCTGAAAAAAAAATCCATTTTGGCAGTTTCTCCGACTGAAAGTACAAGGCTGACATTTCATCTGAAATAAATACAGTTGCATCAAAGCACATAAGAGTACTCTCTGCCACGAAGAAAAAACGATGCTCACAATCAAAATAAGAAGTTCAAACTAATCGAATGGAAGCACAGTAAAAAAACAAACCCTTTGGCGAAGAATAATACGTTTGAAGCAAGTATTTTCCACAGCACGGAGAACCTTTGTGATGCTATAAACCACGTAAGTTTGCTTCGTCTTGTATAATGAAGCCTTAATATCGTTTATGTAGACCTTTAAAGAAAGAGTTCAATTCTTTATGACAGTTTGAGCACAAAAATCTTTCATCTGAATGGGAAAATATCATCCACTGAAGTAATTAAAGTGAGAAATGGAGCAGATAATGTACGCAATGGAACTGATAAAGTAAGGAATGGGACAAATAAAGTACGGAATGGGGCAGATAAATGGAAAGGAAGGAAGTAAGGAAGGGATAAATAAGGAATAGATAAAGTAAGGAATGGAATGGAAAAATGGAACAGATAAATGGAATGGAATAGGTGAATGGAATGGAAGGAATGGAACAGATAAAGTAAGGAATGGAAGGAATGGAATGAATGGAATTGGAATGGGAAGCAAATTATGAAATGGAGCATGGAATGGAAATGGATGGACATGGAATACGGAGTCATTTAAAGAACGGAGGAAAAGATAAACATACGCATGAAATAAAGTACGCAAAGAATAAGCTAAAACGAAATGACAAAACCAACAACAACACAAACTAACCGTTTTGTTCTTCTTTTGTAAAAATACTTTATAGTATGTTCCTGCCAGAGTAGAAAATTGCTGACCTTTTTTCAAAACAGAAAATTCTCGAATATAATTATCTGTCGCATGGAACAAAATGTCTTCCTTTTTCTGAAACATACAGTAAATTTTACGTAAGAATTTTTCTCTTTCTGGCTGATGAATTGCGATCATGCAGTGAAATTTTATCAACTATAGTTGTAGCCTCCCGTTTCATGATTAATTAACAATTATCTTTTTGTTTTCTATAATTTATTTACGAGCATAAATATGCTCGTAAATGATGATCGTCCAGGTTAATAAAGTCCTGAAAAGGACTGTTTTTGTTGTTGTTGACTGACGTTTCGACAACCTTAGCGGTAGTCATCTTCAGAGTCAAAAGTTTTTGACTTTATTAACCTGGACGATCATCATTTACAAACATGTAACGATACTCCCGGGTTCAAACCATTTACTTTAATAAATATGCTCGTAACATCGACATACTTAAAAAGATGAATTTTTCGCAGTGTCAAATTATTAATATTCTTCACTTATGCGTTTGGTGGGCACAAAACCAGCGTAACCAACAGAACAAGTAGCTGCATCCTTTTTTTCATAAGAACAGGCAAAAATTAGCCCAGGCACAATGTTCTTAGTTTTTCCCGATTCCAGACGCAAAATAATTACGTAGTCTGTTTCTTATCATAAAGTCTTTTATGCGAGATACAATATAAAGGTTTGTGTCTCAAAAACAAAAAAATCCCAATACACAGAATAATGCATACACATCGAATTAGTTTACTGCAGAAGTTAAACAGTATTTTGATGAAATTCAAATTAAGTTAAAGCAATGAGAGGCTATATTCTATTCCAATGGGAGACGATGGTTTGGTCAATGCGTGAAACTAACTTGTGTTTTATCAAATGGTTTACTTTATGCAGCAAACTAATCCTATATGCACATATGAATCTGTATATTGCTTATTTCAGTCACCCTGTACATTACCATAATAAATCTATATATGACAACATGCAATTACATGATTCATTTTCGCCACATTAGCTTTATTTAAGTGCTAAAATCCGAGTAACTGAATATTTGGTTCAGAAACAAAGTTTTCAGGGATGTCAAAAAAAGGCTATACTAATATTATAGCATTTGTAAATTTGCAAATGCATAAAGTCCCGTTAGATCAACTACAGTCATCAGAATTGTCCTGTACATTTTACGTCAGCCTCAGATTGCTCTTATTTAGTTCTATTTTTTGGTCTCATTACCTTGTTTCTTATCAAATATAAAAAAGAATGTATTTTGCACTAGACACGTCAGGTGTTGTAATAATAAATGTTACAATACCAATTTATTCCAATGTGTCCAGTGAAGTTCAAGGAGTGATTGGTCGGTGGGAACAAATACGGTGCAAAATGAGCAGTTTTTAAAGTTGCCCGTAAGGTTAAGATCCTGCATAAAATGAAAATAAACAATTCAGCATTTTGCGCGAGCCAGGATGGCAGTGCAAGGGGAACCCTTTTTGCCGTCACTGTATTTATGTTTTTGCATATTCATTCTTAAAAAAGTGCTTTAAACTTCCTTCGAGCAATAAGCGATGAGACTTAAAATATATTTTGAACAAGGGTTTGAACAAAAAAGATAGGATGAAAATAAGGAAATCTCTTGTCCAAAAATTATGAAAATCCATAGTTGCCATGAAATGTAAAAATATAAAATCAGCCTTAAAAAATGATATTATGTCAAAATTATTCCTTACTTCATGACATGGACGACATGACTCAAAAGATTTGAAAAGATACTATACCTTAATTTTTTTACAAAACTGGAAGAAATGTTTTTTTTCTTGTACGCAAAGAAATTCATACAAATCAGATTCTTTGGTGACATTCCTCCGAGCCATATCTGGCACCAACACCTACGAGCAACGACGAGTACACAAATATGGCAAAAAATTAGATATTTTATTAAATTCTCAGCTATAACAAATATTTCTGGGACCGGTTGCACGAAGCCTGCACAGCCTTATCCATTGGATAGCAAAAATCTTCAATGTTTGTAAATGTAGATCGTCCAGGTTGGTATAGTCTTAGAATAATTGTTGTGACGTTTCGACAACCTTAGCGGTAGTCATCTTCAGAGTCAAATGAAGTCATCTTCATCATATGACTCTGAAGATTACTACCGCTAAGGTTGTCGAAACGTCATCCAACAAAACAGTCCTTCAGACTATAACCTGGACGATCTTCCTTTACAAACATGTAACGATACTCCCGGGTTCAAACAATTTACTTTAAAAATCTTCAACTTGCAAAAAAGGTGTTTATATTTTTCTTACAACAAAGAAATTTCGTAATCTTCGAAACAATATTTCACTTCAATAATTGTTCAGTTCGAATCTTATATTCTTTGCTTTTTAAAAGGTTTTATAAAAGTTTAAAAAAACTTGCTATCCAATGGATAACGTTATCCAGGCTTTGTGCAACCAGCCCCTGCATAGAAATACCACAATACATGCAAACATGAGTGAATAAAGACCATTATTGCTCAAGTTCATAAGAAGCCTTGGACATGTACAGTAAAAAAAAGACAAACATCTTATTTTTCCTTAACCTTATCTGAATTGCTTACTTTTTACGAAATGAACAAATGAATGAACGAATGAATGAATGAATGAATGAACGAATAAATTTTGATAAAAACAAGTACAAAAGCAAAGCATTCACGCTGTACACAAATATGATGAATATGATGCAAATTTGGTTTTTTGGCAACCCATGCAAATTGTTTCGTTTCGTTAAGCATAATACAAAAGTCCACAAATTTTGAAACTGGGTCATGCCATCTAATGGAAATACAGTTATCGTGAACTTTATCAACAATGTGAATGATACCATTGGTTGCTTTGATATCTGGCTTTATAATCTTTGCACTGCCTCCAATGAGTGGCTAGAAAACACCAATAAACATCGCGTGTTGGATGGAGTAAACATAAGAGCCAAAAGCTTAGAGCTAGTATACTTATTAACGAAGCAGTGCAATTGCGCACGCATATTCAAAGTGAAACAAGCAGCTGGACTGTATTTTTCAAGTTAACAGTGGATAACATGTCGTCCAGCTCTCCCGGCATTTATCGCGATAAACGAGAAAATTCCAAAAGAGAAAAGAAATACGATCAAATACCTATCAAATTGATTACATACAAAGATGTCTGACGCATGGAAGAATAAATGTGATTTCAGGCATCGTGTTATTAGCCCTTTACAATCTGTTGGTATTAAAAATGCAGCCACGGTGATCAGGGCCGTACCTAGAACGCTAATTGGGGGGAGAAGGGGGTACTTATTCATATATTCAGTTGTGCCCGACTGATTTCTTCAGAAAGACAAATCACTTTCAGCAAGTTACGTTCTAGCTACGGCCTTGACGGAGATAATTAAAATGGACGGTTCCACAAAATGCATCATCAAGTAGACTTTACAGCGAAGACAAGACAGACAGCAAAGAAAATATGAGAAAGCTTGATTGTTCGTAAAATGGCGACACATAATTGTAACATGGCAAAATCATCAGATAATAAATGTTGCCAGCTGGATAGATGTTAAAGAATGAGTCTCACGGTAATGCTTTGCGCGCTTAGCCAACCATAGACAGCCATTTTCGGGGCACCCAAAAATGGCAGCTGTTCATGGTGTACCAATATGTCTACTTCTCCCATACCAACTCTTGTCCATCAACGTCAAAGCGTCAAAGGCAAAAAGACCATATTACAAATTTGAAAGAAAGACCATATTTCACATTTGATTAACAGAATATAATTTCCTAAACTCTGTATCAGATATCGAAAGTTCAATGCAAAAGTAAACACAAGCATTAGGTACAGCGGGACTCATTCTTTAAAGTTAGTTTTTTCAAATATTCCATTTCCTTGTTCGATATGTCATTTCCAACTACTAACCTCAGCAGATTCCGTATGACTGATCGTAATGTTAAAATCTAGAAACCAGCTCTGCAAATGAGTCAGTGAACGGTTCTTCAAGTCCGAATATGTATATTGACCGGGAGCAGCGTTTACACTAAATGAAATAAAATGACTATAATTAGCATTTCAAAACGATATCATGCTCGTGCTCAATATATTTCAAATGTCTCTCATTATAATTTGTTTCCCTTTATCCAATTAGTAAAACTAAACTATAAGACTCTGTTGTAATCTATTGTACAGTATATTCAGAAAAGACATTTTCAAAGGCAACGAGAGTAAGAAGTACCAACTGCGCAATCGTAGAGAAGACCGATTGGTTAGAGTGTATCCAATTAAGATGCTACAAGAAAACTATCGGACGCTGTAACAGTCTATTGTACAATTTAAAGGAGACATTTCAAGAATGACAGTAAGTCGTACCACAGTTTATACAAAAGCCGCACGGAATTTGCTAACGTCATTCGGGCAGTCGAGCTTTCGCTCAACGAATGTGAAATCGTTTCAAATGAAACGCATCATTACCCTCCAAAACGAAGAAATTCCAGAATGAATCCAACAGACGTTGGGCTGTTTCATTGGCATTCTTGATGGCATCATCCGACGGCAGGAAAAACGTTAGAGATTCGTTACGGATCATGTACCGCAGGAGATTATATTTCTTTAAAATCAAAGAAACTTGTGTAACAATTTCAGAAAACGTCGACTTCATTTAACAGGGACAAATCTAACTAGTATGACATGCGCCAAATAGATCGTACCCCGAAGCGGGAACGTTGGAAGATCGATAATTAAGAGAGGGAAGGGGGTATTCAATTATACACGATCTGCCACATTAAGTTCCTTCAAAATCTATTATTACATAAAGGAACATGCCTCCCTCTTCTTAATAAAATATCAACCAAACTATAATCAAAGCCAGGCGCCGAATCACGCATGTGACATGAATTCACAGCATGGTTTTCAGCTTCGAGAAAGAATTTGTATGCGAACCCATATCCCTTTGCTCCCTTTATATCCACCCATGATCTCGTATCGACTTACCGGCCTTACAACCAAAAAATTTGCTATTTAATGCTTCGACAATAATTTAAGGCCAGTGAGTTTATCTTGCATGTGAAAGTGCACTTACCGTTATATATTTTGACATAATCCGTAGTTTAGCCTCTCTTTTAACTTTCTACAGTAAAATAGGTAAACAGCATAACTCGAGAAAGTACATACACAACAGTCTCAGCATAAGGGGTAGCTTCCCTGAAGTGTATTTTTCATTCGGGCGTATATCTAATTCTAACGTATATTTAAAGGCTATTAAAAAACGAAGATCTCAACAAACAAATTGCGTAAAAACGTATGTTTCCCATCTTTTTTTGACCATGTTCTTGGCTTAATAGAAACACGACCCTCAAAGGTTTCGTCGAGCATAAGTTAACAGATCGCTCAAATAGTTAATAAAATACAAATGCTTACTAAGGAAAGCGTGGGACGACACGTAATTCCATCGCCATGATATTCCGGATGGCAAATGCAATTTCTTTCTCCAGGTCCGGTCTTCACACACGTCGCCTACAACGACGTTGATACAAACAATTGCTACATCGTGTTGTAAACACATGGAAACAGCGTAGACAATAAACAGAAAGGCCACTCCACTGTTTTTTGTGCGTCTTATTACGCATAAAGTTACCATAGTAACAAACATTAAGATGCACGATATCACGAATTGGAACACTGAGATGGCTGCAACTGCATCAGTAATGCTACCAAATGTACGGCAACAAGTTGCACAGCGAAGTGAACTTACTGTTTATTCTTTAAAATGCGCCATAGTTAATAATTTTGTAAAGATTACAAAATAAGCTGAAAATACAGCCGCCATGGAAGCTTTCGTGTTGCATCTCGGGTGATTTAGTTGCCTTGAAGCAGGTTAGTACATGTATCCAAGATTGTGGGAAGAAGTAATTACATGATCTTCCGAAACTTTTTAAAGAAATTAATTCGCGAAACACCCAGTCATTGGTAATATGATAAAATAATCCCGAGGTATTGCGCATTTATGAAAAAAATTGATTTTATGTCCTCAAAATTATCATATCAAACAGAGGTATAAGAAATGCCGTCACCAGTTCCCTCAAACTTAGACACAGGCGATTTTAGACTAGTACCACGAACTTAGCTACAAGCTGGATCTTAATCAGTTTCCACAAACTTCGATACAAGTGGCTTCCAGTTCCCTTAAACGTAGACACGGGCAATTTCTTAACTAGTTTGCTGTAAAGGAAACTTTCCTAATCAGTTCTCAAATTTTAAAAACAGTTCTTTCGAGTTCCATCTACATACGATTGTTAATTCGAACGTAAAAGATGGCATCAGTGATGACTTTTTTTAAAGAGTTTCTAGCCCTGGAAAATAAAATTGCCATCAAAAGGCACAATTGTTCGTACCGAGAAATGCGTGACCATTTACTGGGTTTTATTTCATACAAAAACAGGCAAAACCTTACCAACGGTGAACATTTTCCATTGAGTCTTAAACACGGATTATTTTCCTGACACTTCGTACCATCACCATCATAGCCTCTGTTGCATGTACATTTTACCTGTGAAGACGAAAATGACGTGTGAGCGACGATGGAATCATTTTCTTCTCGATTTGAGTTCGTGAATTTAAATGCAAAAAGTAAATTCAGTCAAAAATATGTCAAAAAAAAGTTTAAAAACCAATCCTATCAAAATATTTCAAAAGCCAAACCTATAGGCCATCACTTATGAAACTCAATATCTACGTAGAAGAACAATTTAGCGGTGCATATCGTCATGTTTGCCACCTTTGATGATGACGGCTAGCGTCATTCGAAACTTAAGAATAACCTAGGGTTCTAAATCATTGGCCAATCACAGGGTCGGCGGAGCAACATATGAGCTGCGGGGTCTTCAATTCTACTATAATGTCTTCAGTCTAATATCTTTTTTGTTTTGCAATTGCAAAAAGTGAGGGATTTCAGCCTCCAAGCCCCCCAGTTCCGGCGTCCCTGCATCATTTACTCATGCTATGCTAATACTTTGCTGTTCACTGACTACAAAACAATATATTTCTAAAGAAATCAATCGCTACGTGGCCCTCAAATTTAGATAGCACAAAATTCGGACCGACTACGTTACTCCGTTTGATTATAGAACATAGAGTATACCAAAATAGGCAAATGATCCAACCTGTGCTGGGCCGGTGAACGTACATTTGGCGTTGCCATGACAATGATCCCTCGATGGCATCATGCAGTAATTGATTGGTACGCAATAAAAGCCGTCACCAGTCCACCCGACATTACAGGTGCACGTGTTTTGGCCAGGTCTCGTTTTCCTACAGATTGCCTAAAGGCGACGAATATTTCATAGTCAATGCCAACATTACTTCAAGCAAATGAAAGAATACAACAATTACGCTACAGTTAATGCTCGCGGAATAAGCTAAAAATTATTTTCTCTTACATTTTGATGACACCCGCCTCTATCCTTTCTCAGACATGGATTTATTTCGTAACAACTTGAGCTGCCGACTTTCCGGTATCCAGGCAAGCATACACAGCTATCGAAGAGTAGAAATGGACATTTATTAATCAACAATTATCGGATGAGGTTGAGCATGATATCAAGAACTATTCAGACCGAGGTCAATGTTATCTGGGGAAGCGAAGCTGAAAACATTGAGCGAGGTCTGAATAATTTCTGTTATCATACGAAAGCCGAATTCAATAATTGTTTAATTATTCACCATAATTAGCTGAAATATTATTAAAACTTATCAATGTAAAGAATTTTCAAAACCTCCGCTAATTTGTCCTTGTCAGACGGACTACTCAATTTCTTCTTGTTTAAATATCTTGTAAATATGCTCGAAGCTAGCTTTTATTCAAAAGCTTTTGCATATCCTTTTTAGAAACTGTGACAAACCTCGCTATGTTTTGTGATTTTTCAAAACCGGTTTTTAATGGCGTAAACAATTGTAGAAACTATTACTTGTAGATAGGGCGTCATAATAAAAAATATCAGGAATTATTCACAGGTATCGACCAATCAAAACGGAAATACTTTAATAATTGGCTCTCGATTTGAAATTCAATTTCCTCCACCTCGAGATATCTTCTGGGTATAAGATTTGGCTTTAATTATTTGCTTCAGGTAGCGCTCCATGTATTTTAGTTCAATGAGTGAGATACAACTTTAAAAATGTAGGTTATGCTGTATAGTAAAGGATTTTGTGATAACGAGTATGATGTTAAATAGGTTAAACTTTTTGACAACAGCAGTGACAACAGAAAATGTAAAAAATAACTCTTAAAATCTTACGTCGGCTTAGAATTCTGAAGGTAGCATCGTCCATGCGCATGACACAAAGAAAACTTAAGACGGCGACTAGATGCACCATAGCAAGGTTTAAGGACAAGCCCACAATCCTTTCCGCTGTACCTTCTTTTACAAGTACCGGGAACACAAAAACCGTTGCCCTTAGGGCCGTTGTCGCAGGTGCCATGAACACAAGAGCAATCTACAAATAAATAAAAAGATTGAAAATTTTCGAAGATCAAAAATTTTCGAGAATGATGACAAAAATTTTCATTTTTGATGAATTCTAATCGCCCTTTCACAAAAAATCTAATCGAAGGCATAAGACAAACGTTTGATTGAAACGTCCCGATATTTGTGTATCGTTTTTTATGCATAAATCATTTTATTTATAAGTTTAGAAATGACACAATGATGAGCCAAACGAGAGTCTAAAATATGGCAAAGACGAAGCAGATGCACGAGGCGAGTTCTGTTTAAAATAAAAAAGACTCCCGAAATCAATCGTGCTAGATTATGATTAGGAAAACGTTCGGGGTTATGGTCGGGCCTGCCGTTACGTGGCAGGGTATTCTTTCATTACTCCACAAATGCACATTTGCCTGTTAAAGTACGCTTCACTTTTTTTACATAAGCTGTTTTAAACATTTGATGAAACATTAAAACCAATTTTGATGAAACAACTTGATTTCATGACTTTGTTCCACTACTTGGCTCTAGTCTTGTCTCAATAAATTAAGAAATACTTGGTTTGTGGCAAGTAAATCAAATACTGCTTTGAAGAGAGAATTTGCAATAATAAATGGCAATGATATCGGTAGTTATAAAAAACTGTTTTCAACTAAAACTAAATGACACTAGTAACGTTCGTTTTCATTTCAGTAGTTCTTCTGCCTGAAAAAGAGCAAATAGCTACCATAGTGAATAGTCAAAATAATAAAGTAAGAGCTCTTAAAAGAACTATTTGAAACCAGAACACTAACCCAACAATTCTAAGAGAATACTAAAAGAACTTTTTTTACAGCTGAAAGACACCAAGTGAATATCGTTACCGTATTATTTTGACCATTTACCATGGTATTTGCTCTTTTTAAAACAATCTTTAAATTTTTCACGAATACAAAGTCTCTATTCTTCTGCTTTGATTTTTCACCTAATAAGGCACATAACGAGAATTCGGCCGAATTGCATCGCGCCATTTAATCATCTCAATTTTGCTTTTCAGCAGTTCTTTTTAGAAATAGCGAGGTTATGGATATTTATATTTATTGTGTTGAAGCCTATAATACCAGGGGTCTGGAACGAGTTTTCGTTGTTTTTTACAAGGAAAGCACACCATTTTCGTACATATCTGTTTTAAAATATTGAGTCAAACTTGTTAACCTACAACATTTCCTGACTTCGTACAGAATTCACTTACTTCTTTTACACTCCAATCCAAACGTTCTGTTGTCTTTGCAAAGCTCGCAAGCAGTTCCTGCAAAGCGAAGATTGCACTTACAGATACCAGTCTCACTGGAGCACTAAAAACATAATTTGAGCAAAATAACCAAGTTAAAAAAACTTCATTAACACGCACGACAATCATTAGCCTGTACAACTATACTAGTTGAAAAACAAACGTCGCGATTGTTTTCAAAGAGAGTGTTCCGCATTTATACTGCTATACTTTATCATCCTACGTAAGGAATATATTGTGAATTAAAAGTAGTAAAACATTACAAAGTAATTTGTAACGGTAAAGAGTTACAATTTGTTAGTGCAACTTATCCTTGTAACTAGTTATATACATTACAATTAAATGAGCGTAAAACTAATAGCTAGCGGAACAAAAAAAGTATCTTCTACGGCCCAGAAAACAAGCAATTCAATTCCAAACATTTCTGTTCTATGTTTTTATGTATTGTAAACAAAATGAACGCCGCAAAACGGAGCACAATACATTAATGATATTCGCACAGAGTTTGGTTCTTTTGTACGCTCTGTGCACATAAAATCTCCAAGCATGCAGCATACTAACTATAGCTAACGCAGTTTGCATTCGAATGGTAAAGCAGGGGCGTAGCGAACGTGGGGATCAAGGGGGTTCCAGACCCCTATTGTTCTGTCGGAAAAATTTGTTCATCTATCGGTAAATTTTCTCTAAATTTCAATACATTTTATATAACTACGCCCAAACCAAGACCATACCACGCCCACCTTGAAGGTAAATTTGACGCTTTGCCCCCCCCCAAAAAAAAAACAAACATAGACTTCACTACACCTCTGGTTAAATCTATTGATGACTTACCTTTCCGTTTCCAAAACATGGATTGCCGATAGGACCCGGACAGGGAAGACAGTCACTCCCATAAAAACCTTCACAGCACTTCCTTCTCTATAATCCGTAAAATTAACACGTCTTACGCAACTTCAACAACGTACCATTTACATAAATCGAGAAAATTGGCATTTCCCCATGGATATACACATACCTTAGGTTTACATACAGCTCTACAACCAGAATTTTTTGCATCACTGAACCCAGTATTTCTGTAGTAAGAACACGACCGAGTTTCTCCCTGTTGTAAAAATACTAGGTATCAGTAACCACTTAAACTCTTTCCTAAGATACATGAGGATATCTAAAATATCTTAAATAAAAGATCTAAAATATATTACTAAGAAGCTATCAATATGGAGGGTCACGACATGGAAAATTTAAAATCATGGATCAGGGATGCCAATATGAACAGTCTAGTGCATTCAAAATTAATACGTAAGTGTCAGGAAAACTATACTTTTACACATTCTTTTGTTCCGCCATCTTTTTTTTATCAAAAGCAAAAACTATAGTTGCTCGTGAAATGTTGACGAAGCATGCGAGGAAAATGATTCGTTCTCAACATTCCTGTCTTATATAAAGCTATGGTGAAATGTCAATACTTCCTAGATTCCGTTCACCCGCCTGCGGGGAACATTTTTGAAACTAATCAGTGTAGCTCGTGTTGATCCATCTTCCAAAACTATAGCTGGTTTCATGCACTGTTCGGGGACTGGGTACTGTCGTGGAAAAAAATTTTTACTGTGAACTAAATTTCATGTTTAAAACAATGAACGACTTCAAAAAGTAAGAACACTTAAAATAATTCAGCTAGGTTGTGAAAATCCTCAGACGATCGAAACGAATGTCTGTAAAAGTTTTTGGTGAACAACAACAACGCATTCATGAATTTTAGCAGTGTATAAATATAAGCTATAAAACGAAACAAAGTCCGAAGATAATTTTCATCTTTAACTCAGTATTTCAGATAAAAGAAAGGACAAAATAGACTATAGTGTTATTTCGAATTTATTACAAACATCTGTCAAAAATATCCGTGAAAATAAGATATAGTGATATTTCGAATTTAATAAAAAAATCTGTCTGACGATGAATTTGTAATAAATTTGAAATATCGTTATATCTTATTTTGTCCTTTCTTTTATCTCCTTTCATATTTTATGAAATCATCGCCTGGCAATGGCTTTATATTGTAAAAACTAACTGATTAAAATAACAAAAAAATATTGGTTACTTGAATGCACCTGAGAAAACTAAATTTTTATGATTGTTTTAAACATTTTATTTTGGTTATTCATAATTGGTTAAATCAACCACACATAATGGTTATTTAATAATGGTCAATTTATAAACAACCATTGCTCATAAATTAGCTTACCGTGGGAACATATTCGTTGGGACATTGTGGATAAAGCGCTGTCAAACGACAATCCCGACATGGACCCTATGCAACAATACACAAGAATTTTGTCAAATTTTGAATCAGGGGGGAGGGGATGGAAACGAAGATCGATTAATAACTTCCGTCGCTCTTGCGGTCGTGAACTTATAATTTACTTTTGAAAGACGAAAAAGCTCTTTCACTTACAACCACAGAACACGAAATATACAGAAATGCCAGTCCATTGACAATTTTATATCTTATTATGCATATGATTACCGAAGTGACATCCGGTCGTTTGCCTTTTTTGACCATCAAACATGATGAAATGGCTAACCGCAGCCAGTAATATACATAAAATACAGCACAGAATTGCATAGCAAAGTTGTCCGACTGAATAGGTTGGTTGGTTGTTACGTCACGGCCGCCATGTTGGTTGAATTCGACAAAGAATTTTTCTCGTCGACGTTTTAAATTTCAACCAACATGGCAGAGGTCGCCGTCACTTTACAAACCACCTACAATCGTTACGCTGTGAGCTAACTACATGTTTATTCCTGCAATAGAAACTTTTCTCTGTTCACTCACTGAAAAAAACGAAAGACTTCTACAGAAATGAACAAGATAATGTCGAGTCTGATGTCGATTTCATTTTAGAAGCAAGATTTGACGTTCTTACGATTTTGTTCGAGCTTTGTCTCCAATGAATAGAAACAGAAAGTTGGAAATTTCCCGTTTTTTTTGTTGTACAGGATTTATTTTGGGAGTATCCCCCGAGATCGGATCGGTATTTCATGGATCATTTTTGTAGTTTAATGTCGACAATTCATTAAAAGAGCTTCCTAAATTGAGTCTCTTCTCTTCGTAACAAACAAATAACTTTTTGTAGCAGAGAAAATTTGTAATAATTGAAACAACTAAGAAAGAATACATTATTCATACCGAAGATCGGAAGAAAAGAGAAAGTGCTCTTAACGTAAATGAAATAACATAGTATACAGAATATTATTCTTTCAGAAAGACCCCTTTCAATAGGAAAGAGTTTCTCCCGTCTTTTTAATGCTCACTCACATGCAGTTACAAAATTTTATGCGTGAGCGCTAGGTACGAAATATTGTTGTAATTATCATGGCCTCCACATTGAATAAAATCACCTTCTCGCATTTCCTCGCTGGAATGATCGGAAAAGCGACAAAAAAATTAAGACAGTATCACGTCTCTCAACATTTAAAATTCAGTCCTTGTTTTATGCTATATAGCTATACTTACTAATTTAGTCCTATTATCACAAAACTTTTGAATGATCGGAAGAACAAACAGTGGCAGTAATACGTTATCGGCGAGATGAAGATAGCCATCTGACGCTATGTTGTTGCTGTTTATGAGCCTTGAAACGTTGCCCAGAATCACCGATCCCTTTAAAATCAAAAACCTTGCAGGTGAATAAACACAAGTCAAACCCACCCAATGTTGATGCATTTTGATCAAAAGCAATAACGATATCTATCCAGGGACCAGATGTCTAATTGGAGATTTCCATTAAAGCCTAGTATCAAGTACCATATTTCCTTTGTTTATCCCCCTGTGAGGGTATTAGTTTAGAACTTTCAAGTGAGGGATTATATAGCTTTCCACGCAAATTTACTAACGCTTACTAATTCACGTAACTCCATTCAAGTGAGAGCACAAATGGATTTTTTAAAAAAACTTTAACACGTGACTATAATTTTGTCATAAATTTTGACACAAAGCAAGCGACTATTCAAGTGGGGGACGATGAGAAGGGGGGGGGGAGGTAAAATGAAGCCGGGGGCAAAATAGAGGAAATACGGTGTTAATTTACACCGTGAAGTATCTCTGATTAAATGCTACGCAGCTAACGAAAACTTTAACACAGGCGGACTGACGTTCTCATAAAAGTTTTCTCCAAAAAGAAATATTTGGGATGACCCTTCTACTTTGGAAAATTTTCTTTAGTAGATGGAAGTGTGTTGAATCATATGCATAGCAAACTAGCTAAAAGCCTAAAAGCATGATCGCTTCAGTTTCTTTTCCCACCACATTAAATCGTCAACCGTGGATATTCCCAAACACGGGATAAACACGCAGCTGCCAAACATCACAAATTAATCCATAATTAGCAATGTGAAGCCATGCAAGATACCGTTTATAGATTGATAACTATTAACACACTAGATAATCATTTCTGAGTAGCTAAAATACCTTTTCATTAACCGTCACAGAAACCGTCTCTGGTGCAAGCGAAGTCAGAGAAGACAGTCGAGAAATATCGATAACACCAAACTAACACAAATAGAAACACGTTTTAGATAAATATATGTATAAAAGTCAAGCCAAATTAAAAGTTGACCGTGCTCTACCTTTGAAGGGAAGACATGATTTTTTATAATAGCCTCGAGTTTCACACGGCCCTGTTTGAAAGAAAAATTCCTTTAGAAATGAGTGATACAAAGATTCACCTAAGGGGTGACATCAGTGTTTATGACACGCTATTTTGCAACGCAGTTTTCCGATTGCTTAAAAAACATTTAAAAGCATTTTCATCAGTCAAATGTGTAAGTTCGCCTCTTTCTACAGATGTTTGTTCACTTTACTAATATCCTCACTATGACATCAGTATCACATTGCTGAATGACATTTTAGAATTCTGGACAAGACATCAACGTTTTATTCACAAGCAAAATAAATAAATAGATTGGTTGATGATTACGGAAATATACTTTCGTATTGGATAAGAATTTCACAGAAACTGTCGACGAAAACTGACTTTTCCGAAAGCTAAAAAAATATTATGTGGTCTCATAGTGATGTTATTTGCATAAAGTAAAAGGTTTGATACGGGTTTTAACAAAATATTCACTTTAATCAATGTACGTTGTACATATGCCATTGCACTGTACATTAATGGTTTGTCTCGAAAAGAATACAATTCTGTTGAAATTGTCGTTTTTGTCAGTGGCGTATCGAAGTCGTTGATCGATGGGGGACAGAAATTTATGTAGCCATATTTCAATCCGTAGAAAACAATGGATTTCAAAGGAACCTAATACGGCAGACAACGCACATGTGAATTGCCTTCATCTCTAAAAAAACTATCGAGTTTGCTACGCCACTGTATCGTTCCAGTACAGATAAAAAGAAACAGTGGTGCCGAATCGCAAAGTGTTTTGGTACATAGTGTTTTAAATCGCAGACTTTTATCGACTAACTGTCCACTCGCAGTGTACAGACTCGTGAATGAATCGCATTCAATAAAAATAAATGATCGAAAAGCCTACTGTGGGCGATTGTAGGTATGACATGGTTTCGTTGTCCAAACGTTCAAACGCTTCGTTCACCGGGGCAATCACTGTCGAACCATTCGAAGAAGTTTGAAAGACAGACGTCATACGTGCTATCTGAAAACAAAACAACAAAAAACAATCAATTGGGGAAAAGGCTTTGACACATTGGATAAGTCAGGTGACGTGGTACAAGTAACGCCTGTATTGTAAATATTCGCTTACAATCACACTCACTAAGCGAGGCTCGAAACATTCTTCTTCCTTCTCTTCGTAACAAATAAATAACTTTTTGTAGCAGAGAAAATTTGTAATAATTGAAATCATTAAGAAAGAATACACGTTTGTAAATGTAGATCGTCCAGGTTGGTATAGTCCTGAGAAGGACTGTTTTTGTTGTTGTTAATGGTTCAAACCATTTACTTTAAGAAAGCATACATTATTCATACCGAAGATTGGAAAAAAAGAGAAGGTGCTCTTAGCGTAAATGAAATAAAATAGCATACAGAATATTATTCTTTCACAGAGACCCCTTTCAATAGGAAAATTATCACGTGCTCTGCTATGTACATTTTTGTTTGACCTTGTTTAGGCACTGGTAAAGTATTTTATTTTTTTATTTCCAGTTCAAATTATTCGGCCGAGTGAAAGACATCAACAATATGTTGTCGGTCGTTTTAAGTAAATCTCGGCCGTTACCTCGACAAGCTCTTTGAATGTTTGAGCTTCTGGTAGATCGCTGATCATCTGCCAAAGGGTTTTCTTAAAAAATAGTAATATGATATATTATCAGTAAAAAAAGCAAATATCCATGAGTTAAAAGAAATTGCAATTAGCTTTTTCATTTGCTTCATGTCGTGTCTATATACTAGCAAAATACATAATTTCACTTTCGACAAAGCAAATTTGTGTCGGTCGCCTTCAACGTATTGAAGTAAACGTAATCAGCACCAATCAGTTTTAAAATGCTCCCTAGGATTGGTTTATATTGGTTTTTTAACTTTCTTTCGACTTATTTTTGATTGGGAGTTTTGCTTTTCGATAACTTTCAATATAGCGTCGTTGTCTCACCTTGAGAGTGGACCTACTGTATATTCTAGTACTACACTGTGCATATACGCATCACCATTATAATGCAAAAATTAACAGGGAACATTTTGGGCTTAATTCTCGTTGTAGGTTTTCAATATGTATATAAGATCAGTGACCTACAAACATGGTCACATTTTTTTCACGAAAATGAAACATTGAAAACTTTGAATTAACAATTTAACATTTTCACGACAATTATGGTGACAACTTGGCTTAAATTTATTTTAGGAGATTTGTGAAACACTCAAAAAAATAGAAACCGGTGGACAAGCACTATTCAGGCAGCACGCAAACATTTTCTGAAATCAGTTGCATTGGAAATCAGTTGCAGGTCGATAGACGAAAAAACTTCGGTGACGAAGGAAATAATGCTCTTCTGCAGCTTTGTTCAATAAATATGTTATCTGTAAACAATTTAGTCGAGGATAAAAAATCCTGACGCTTTATTTTATTTTTTCACCTGCGCACAATACTGGTCATTTTATCTGATAGAAGTTATAGAACATACCGACGTTCCTGAAGTTTTGGTCAAGTCTGGTTTCCATGCGACACCATCGATCACGTGGATGACACCATTTGAAGCAAAAATATCCGGCGACAATATATTGGGCTTTTCTGAGCGATTATTCAGCTGATAAGACAAACGCCTCTGCAAAAGAATCATATCACTTGCCACCCATTAAATAGCAAAAGTTAAAGAAAACAATTTGTAAAAATCTCATTGCGTCATCGCAACGGTTTAAAGTTTACTGCATTGAATGTCATGGACGAATGTATCTTTAAAGTGAACAGTTTGAACACGAGAGTATCGTTGCATGTTTGTAGATGTGGATCGTCCAGGTTAGTGCAGTCCTGAGAAGGATTGATGGTGTTTGTGTTGATTGACGTTTCAATAATTTTCGCGGTGAAATTCTTCTTCAGAGTCATCTCACTACACCTACTCTAAGGTGACAGACCTTCACAGGACTGCACTTACCTAAACGATTTGCATCTACCCAAATGGAATGTATCTATCTAATTCTTTAGATGCAAAATACGAATTGAGAAAACTGAATGGCGAACTTACATCCTTGGCCACCGACACCATGGCCTGAAATCCCTTTAAAGTGGTCAGTTGGCCATTGTGTTGTAGCAAGCTCGATGGTAAAAACGCAGCAGCAGAGTGTGCCATGACTAAATCATGCACCATCTGTGAGTCCCCAATTATGGCGTAAAGCTAAACGTTTGAACAGAAGAAAGTGTGTTTAGTCGCCTGCGTATAAATTTAACGCAGCAAGTGACCCGATAGTCTACTCGCAGATACACCGAGCATAATATCTTATAAAATGTGCTTAACAATATAAGCGAACTGGTTGAAGAATCAAGAATTGCTGTGGGTTTACACGAGCTCAAGCAGAGCTATGCAGATGCTTGTATCACCTCACATGTTTAATTTCTGACAGTTTAGAAGAGTTCCAGCATAGCTACGCAGATGCTTGTATCTGTTCACATATTTTGATTCCGATGGAAACAAAATTAATAAGTTTGATAATGAAATAGAATGATAATGTTGACACATGTCATAGATACTTTAGTATAAAATAAAAGTCGAGAAATTGATTACATTTTGTTTTGATCGAGAACATGCAACTTAAGTAACGCCGTTTACTTTTTGTTGAAGACACTTTGATTAGTGCATAACATCGAACCAGGGTGTGGAAAGCACAAATAAAAGTGTGTGTGCGCTGGGTGAGGTACACAACAGAGTACTAATTTGCCTGTTGTATGCATTAAATACAAACGAAAAATCAAAGTTTCAACATTGTAAAACGTCTTAAAACTGATACAAGGAGGTGGTCATACTTTGGTTTTTATACATGCATGTAGATAGAAAACGTAATATGAGAGCTTGACAGAAAATAAATGATGCCGTCACTGTCATGTAGGAAAATGAAAATTGTTCGTCTTATAATCTTTTTCTATCTCAGCAGGTATTGTTTATAACAAAATACGCTAACGAAGAAAAATTGCATAAGGTTCTTGAGCGATTCTTTAGAAGCCCACTTCGCTGCAACGTAGATACGTATGTTCTGTAGCTAAAATAAGCCCAGAGTAATGCACTGACGGGTAATTCTCTTTATAATATAACAAAAGCAAAACGTGTGCTCTGATTGGTCGATGCCCGTGTTTGGAATGGGCCATCCAAACACGGAAATTGAAATGGCTGTCGTCGGTATGCTGTCGTGAGAATTTTCAACATACCTGAAAATTACGGTTTTCTTAATCTTGCGGATTAACTTTCTTAATCCCTTCAATCTCGCGTGTTTGGATCGGAAATCCAAACACGGAAACTGTTTCGCAATTGTTCACTTATGCTCGTACACAAATGAGAAAACAAGGAGGTATTCTTCAACTTAGCTTACATCCCGACTAGTAAATGCCTTGTTCAGTCCATCGTCTGTTGGAAGGAAAACGGTGAAGGGCCCTCGTTTGGCGAAGGCCAGCGTCAAGTCTGCATGATGTTTGATGATGGTCTGGATATTTCTTAATTTGTTCTTGTAAGGGCCTGTCGCATGTAAATCTATAACTTTCTGAAATATAATAAAATATCACGTTAATCTTAAAGACTTTTTACTTACTTAAATAACTATATTTTGAAGGCGTTTTATATAAAGAGGAAGAAACAAGCCAATTTTTAGATACTGTCATCAGTGGCGTAGCTGGTCTTCAACAACCGATCATTCTTCAATGACGATGCAAAGCAGTCTTAGGTAGCCGATTTCCTGGCTTAGAAAATGATGCAGTGCTAGCTAGCTTCGACTACTGAAGGGGCCAATATTCATACATGCATTCTATGATCCGCATAGTATTGAAATTAGTTTCTCCTTTTAATACGTATTTAATGAAAAACCTATTTATTTCAAATCAGCGCAAGCACAGTATAGAAACATAGAGTAGTCTCACTCCACTGTACAACTAGGTGCTGTATATTTAATTAGATTACTTGCGGCGGCTTGCCATCTCAGCGCTCCTATTGGCTAAAAAAGCAATTGACCGGCTGCCACTATGGTAATCGCATACGTAATAAGATATGCGCTACACAAAAAAATTCTATAGAGTGGGACTTCTGTTTGTTTCTATACTGTGGCGCAAGTGCTACATAGAGATACGTCACAATGCGTGCTGGACACAAATCGATCGTTTTCTTCAAATGTGTATTTATGTTTTTTTCGTCGATTCAATAATCATTGACGACTGCTTTGTATCAATTTAGAAAATACAAAAAACAAGCACTATTTTGAGTCCTTTTTGATCCATGCTTTCAGCAAATGACCACAAATAAAGCACTGGTGACTTCACACGGAAAACCAGTCTCCACTTGCAGAACTAAGAAAAATCCCAGCGTGTAATACAGGGCACCGCAGGAAATTGATAAGTGGAAGGTCCTTATTTTAACATTTGTGTGTTATAAATTTATAAATTAAAATTACAAGAGACTTCAACAGAAATTGATGTGGAACATATGAATAGTATCCCCTCAATTATCAATCTTCCGCGGTCCTTGCAATCGTCATTTTTCGGGGGAGGCGTGGTGTGACTCCATAAACAAACCATGCCGTTAATACTGCCTGCCAAACAAGATACATACCTCTAAAATCGATCCATAACAAACTGTTCCGTTCCCAACATAACCATTTTTACAACGGCACCTTCAAATTTTCAAAAGCCATGTTATACAACACAATTTCCTCAAGTTTCACTATAAGCAAAACTCATTTTATTTCTGTATCTGTTCGTGTTTCATCCAAACGAGTTTCCCCAGCTACCTTACTATGTCAACATTAATAATATTACTGATATTGACTCCTTATCATCAAAAATAGTTTCATAATTGTCCTCAATCAACGAAACACACAGGAATGAAGCACTACGGATAATATAGCAAAAAAATTCCAAAAAACATCTTGAGATTACAAAATATGAATCAAAACATTCTGTCAGAGGATGACTTTGAAATAAAGTCGAAAATTAACAGTTCGCTTCCCGTCTTGTTTTGATTCACATTTTGTAATCTCAAGATGTCTTGTTTTTTCGGAATTTGTTTTTTACTATATTTTTTTAAATTGTCGGCTGGTCATGGTTTTTGGTCTAAACTACGGATAATATTACCAATAAGATGAAAATATTTAGAATTAAATACGTCGTTAAAATGTATTCTCAAGATGTTTAGCTTTGAATACAAAAGATATGCGGTTTTGATTTAGAAATTAATTTCTTCTTCAGTCACATATTACAGCAAGAATTCACAATCCTTTCAGTAAGCCTAAAAAATCAACCTTGTAGACAGCTGTTTGAAAGGCCACTTTCTATACACTTCTTCTTGAAGCATTTACACGGGGGGTGGGGGATGACTCGGATATAATCATGAAGGTGGGTGGTTAATTTTCCCGACAAAAGGGCGTGGTATTTAACAAGTAAAATCGCTTTTTTAAAAGATTTTCCTATGAAGTTCGTAAGTAATGTTTCACTTTCTTGCACGACAAGTTGCAAAGTTTTTCCCAAAAACAAAGAACTCCTAATTTGGGGGATTGAGCCCCCCACCTCCAAGACTTACAGACCTGAGCGTTTATAGTTTTAGAATGATGAATTATTCGGCATAAATTCAACTAAACATGGTCGTTCTTACTCTTTGACACCAGGAGCTGACATAAAACATTCCGCACCAAAAGTACGACAGTCGTTCAAGTCACATTCATTGATGATATCACAACCAGCTTGCACAGTGTAATTTCCATATCCCGGCAAACAGGAACAGTTTGACTGACAAAAGAAAAGAAAAAGTAATTAGTGACGTCGCCTTCTTTTTCACTTGAATCATTCGTAGGTACACAAACCAGTGTCGTACCCAGCTTCTACAGATTTCCAGTCCTGCTATGGACAGATGTCTGAGCTGAGGAGGCGAGAAGAGTCCAGAGGCCCTGAGATTATTGATATTTTGATTAATAGTGGATTGTCTTTTGTTTCAGGTATGTAATGAGTCGTTTGTGATGTCGATGTCAAGTTGAGTGGGTTTTTCTAAGTTGGTACACTAACTTTCCAATGTAAGCCATTGTCTTTAGTCAGTGCTGTAAGTAATACATTTTGTCGAGTCCCAATCAATGTTGTGTTTTGTCAGTCGGTGATGTTCGGCAATGTGATTGGTTTTGTCTTGTTTCTTTCTAGCTCGTTTGTGTTCATTAAGTCTTATGTTTAAGTTCCTGCCAGTTTCCCCGATATAAGAGGCGTGGCAATCGGAGCAGTTTGTTTTGTAAACTGCACCTTGTCGTTCGTTGGGTTGTTCTTTCATACGTATATTCCCAAAAATTACCAGACAAATATCCCTATCTAACTAAAATGGAGTCGTATTTCAATTGATGCCATCGATTGCTGCGCTTTTCTTTTAAAACAGCTCTTATATACATACTGCACTCAATGATAAGATCGTTTGAATTGGCTTACACGTCCTTATGTAAAGCCCAAAACACACAACTTTACATCTTGAATTGTTTGTTATCACTACATAAATCTCAGTTCTTTACAAATGTAGAAATGACTGTACTTTGAAGGTGTGTCCTAGAAGCTACATTATATGTTTTGCCCTAATCTCAAAGTAAGCAAATTCGTAGCCTTCAAGTAAAATCAGTTTTCACTTAGAAACTCTTCCGAATCTTCTTCATTTCATTCGCGAGTCGGAGGAAATGGCCTCTGATTTAGAAATTTGCAGTTTCTATGTAGTCAATGGGTACAACCGTTGTATACAGAGGGAATAAAAGTCGGATTATCACGTACGCTAAACACGCGTTTTAATTGTCAAACTAGCCGTTTTACAAATTGTGTATGCAATCAACGTAATATTTGGCTTACTCAAGAGCCAAGACAAATAAATGTCTTTTTATTACTTATCTCATTTTTAGTGGAATTTTTGCAAATGCATAATATTCTGATAGTATTTAACTTTACTTTAAATTTACTTTAAGCTTTGTAACGCGCAATTTGAATTAGTAGTGCTATTCAATTTTGTAACATATTTGATAATAATAATAACAGTAATGATGATCGTTATGTTGCGGTCTTTGGCAAACAAAACACGCTGTTTCCCTCGGTCTCAACCAATAGGTGATAATTATAAGTCTCACAAGATACTTACCTTTCCAGGTGCCAAATAATTACATTGTGTATTTTTCGAACAATTTCCCATGTTGATTTGACAAGGATCAATAGCTACACGTAAAAAAATACACACAAAAATCATTTGATGTCAAATAGCTTTTCCACGTACGTGAGGCAACAACTTTACAATCACAAGCTGGGGAATATTTCGTTTCCAGTAGACACTTTAATTAGACAAAACGTAGCAAACTCCAAAGGAGATCTGAAAGCTATCAACGTTAACAAGATGACAAATTTCTGGTAAAATCTCCACTTTCTTCCAATGTCATTGTCCGACCAACTATTTAAAAGCGTGCTCGACAGATCTCTATGTTGTCAGGACAATAAGTTTCGATTATAAAGTCGATATTTTACCAGGATTTTGTCTTTATGCTATATCAATAACTTTAATCTTAAGTCTGTCTTGTTTCATAACAGTACGAAATAAAATGCATTTTAATTTGACCAAATCAAAAAATAAGGGAGAAATTACTACAATTATATAATCGTACAACGATCATTGTTTATTTTGTGCAATAAAAAGAGTTACGTTTACTTGGTATGTAAAAATAACACAAGTTTATGCTTTCGTTTTATAACTTCCGTACGGGAATTTGCATGATTCAACTTACCCGTGCATACAACACCGTCTCCAGTAAATCCCAGTGCGCATTTGCACTTGTAGCGACCTGGGCCTGTTTTACTGCATACTGCATTAGGGGCAACTGACGTTCGGTTGGGCGCAAGGATCAATTTCTGAAATATTAAATATATCACGTTTGCGACAGATTGGTTCAATCAAAACGTTAATTTGCCACCGAAATGCATTATTGACAAACAAATATGAAACAATTTATTAAATTTATGACTAACAAAACTACAGCTAATTTGTGGAGCAAAGCCACCTCCATCACGACAGTTTAATAAGAGCATCCCTATTTCCATTAAAGTTTCGTAGATTTATTGTTTGGCATTGGATAAAAACACATGTGAATACCAATTGTGTGTAAAATTCAAACCGTGCACGAGTATGAAAAAATATCTGCCACCATGTAATGTGCATGCTGTAAAATATTGTACACCAGCATGCTTTATAAAAATATCATGCCAATTGTGCATGCTATATAAAAATAACTGCCATAATGGTGATGCACTTTGTAAATACTACTAATTGAGCATGCTTTGAAAAATAACTACCAATTG